GTTAAGTACGAGGTTAATATTTCGTCTCTCTCCTGACGAACGTTGCTCAAGTAGCTAAGCGGCATTGCAAACTGTCTCCTCGCTTGAAACTGCTATAAGTACAGCTAGGAGAATTATTGCCAAGAGTTGATGGAGTTCACCTTGAGCCTCTTATACCACCTCTTGACATCCCCTACTATTGTGACTACGAAGCACCTACACTTCACCAAGTTAGAGACCTAGTGCAGCTACATCAGGTCATCAAAATTATTGAGGTGGTCTCTAGGGTCCCCTCTGTTGTCGAACTTACTCTCTAGCACCTTGAATCCTTGTGGAAGCGGGGCCTAGTGAACTTTTTCTGTAAAGGGGGAACTTAATATTTCCTCTGCTATGCTATTCTGGCGGGCTTTCAAATCGTCAAACATTCTCTGCATACGATCTAAGTCTTCATTGTGGTTGTATTGTTTGGCTCTGTTCAGCCTTGCTTCGAGCAAATAAGTTCGCAAGCCCGTTGCCTGCAAAGCCCCTCTATTGTGCGCATTGATGCACGAAGTTGAGTCATGAAGGCTAGGTTGATAGGTGCTATCATGCTCCTCGGTTCATTGCTCGCGACGTTGGTTATAACCAGAATGTCGGTCATTGCCAGATTGGCGCACATGGCTCATCTTGCAAGCTGGCGGGGATCGATATTGTCTTAGGCGTAGGTTAATACCAGCACGCTGATGCTGGGAATATCACCAAGCATCTTGGGGATGACCGTTGCCTTCACTTTTCTCCAATGGTTGCTTCCCTGGCCATCTCCCGGGGTTAGTTTGCACACGGGACTCACATTCGTGAGCGGAATGCAGTTTGTGATGTCGAGGGCATTGGCCGCCTCTTGGCGTCGATGAACGGGACTGGCCACCTGTAGAATTCATACCTGTTGGGGTGGCACTGGTGAAGCACAGTTGGTTGATATTTTGGGCAGTTGGTTGCTGATTTCTCAGCTCAGCATGTTTTGTTACAGCGCCTATGCAACCATTATTCTGATCATCTCCACCAGCTGACTGTTTTTGGGGTTTGATGTCCTTACCCCTTGGTTATTTGTGACGTGCTAAGTTGGAGGTACGAGCGGTTAGCATTCAGCGGCGTCCTATTGTACTTGCTGGTGGATGGTCTCTACATTCTCAAGGTTTCTGAAGGTGGTCTTTAATTTGGTGTACACCATTGTGGGCTTGGATTGGGTAGGTTGTTGCAACTGTTTGTAAAAATTGCAGAGATGTTGGCGGAGGCCTTCCTTTTAGTGCCAAAATGTTGATACAGAAATCTGCACCAACCAGAGAATTTCGATCGACCTTGGTGGGATCGGAATGGATGTGCACATGATTACGGATAATCAGCGATTGACAAGTATTGAATGCAATAATATAAATGGCAATGAGAGTTTTTTTAAAGTGGTTCAACGAGGTAAACTCTTAAGCCTACGTCCACTGCTTTTTGTATTTGCTGTAAGAGCTTACAATGAGAATTCTGTGAAAATTTTGTAACATCTTTTCCATCATTTAGGGGGTTTATATACTAGGTTTATACAAAGGAAAGAGCGAAAATAAAGGGATTATAATTGATCTGAACTGCAATTCTGATATTCTGGCGATTGGGCGTTCTAATTGCGTAGAGATTGTTGTTGATCTAGTCATTCCCGCGATATATGAGATCTGAAGTTATCTGAGAGTTAATTGAATGATCATTTAGGTTATTCACGACTGGCTTGTGTTGGGTCGGGCTATATGTTGACGAGCTTATGCTGGGTCGGACAACCGGTGGAGTCAGATTGATTTTGGGTCGAGCTACATCCTCGCGGTAGCCCGAGCTTGGTGGAAAATCACACACAACATTTGACTTTTTCTGCTCTAAGCTTTGAATAATTTATCATAATAAAATATTTTTAAAACTTATTAAAATAACTGAACAAAAACCAATTAAAAAAATACAGAATAAACAAGATTAATTTGGGCATCTTTATATTTCAGTTACTATATTATTATTAATTTTGAGGTATCAGAGATGTAACTTAAATACTAACTTTTGAGACCTTAATAATTTTAGTTGTCAAATTTTTGGTTTTGTCCTGGAAATTGTTTTCAGTTTCACACTTCAATAGTATTTTATGAATATTTTAATTGTTTGTATGTTAGGAAAATTTATTTAAGTCGGTGCCTCATAATTTAATAGTTTAATTTTCTAAATAATTTATTAAAAATGTGTTTTATTAGTTCATATTTGTTTTAATGTAATTTAAGTGAACGAGCAATTTGTTACTATTAAAAATACTAATAAATAATTTTTTTCTATTATTTTATCTCTATTAACATTTTAAAATGGTGGGATTGGTTATGGATAGCAATTTCAATTTCAATTTCTGAAGTGAACTCCGAATTTGTCTATTGGGTTTATATAGAAAGATGGGTCTGATTATATTTTAGAGTAAATAACTTTTTCCCACCCAAGGTTTGCCTTAAATCCCCATTCCCACCCAAAATGTTTCAAAGTATCACTTTTTCACCCAAAGTTTATATTCTGTTACTACCGAAAGCCCATTCTGGCCTCGAAAATTCTCTCCATCACCACTATTTGAACCTCTGGTCTCCTCTCTACAAAACCTCTCTCACTCTGATACTTGATTTCTCATCGATTGCCGGCCACAGCAAATCTAGGGTTTCCAGGTTTTTAGTTAATTTTCGGCTAATTTCAACAGTGAATATTCAACCGGTTACCACTATTAGATCCACTGGCCTCTACTCTACAAAACTCCTCTTACCCTGGCTCCTAGCAACTCGTCGAATGCCAGTTCAGAAACTAAAGTGCATTTTGGGTATAAACGGAATATAAACTTTGGGTGGCAAAGTGTCATTATGGCAGACCTTGGGTGGGAAAAAGTGATTTACTCTATTTTTATTTGATTAATTAAGTTTTAATGACGTTAATGTCAATTTTTCTCATAATTCATTTTACATGAATGCTTCCGGCACTCAACCTACATTTGCCATGTATTAGAAGAAGTTTGTTTATGAAAAAAAAAAAAAAAAAAAAATCTCGTGATTAAACACATTTTTGGTAAAATTTAATAATTTATCATACACCCTCTTTTAGTTCTACATTTCTCTTCTTCATTTTTTTAAGATGTTAAATTAAAAACAAATTTATATACCTTATTTTTCTATTAATAAAACGTGTTCACATCAACAAGATCAATAATGGTTTTTTATGCATATTTTAAAATTTTGTTAACCCACCTGAAAATCAATTTATGGTTTCGTTCTTGTTAGTAATTAGTTTACTAATTTTTGAATTAGGGTTTCCTTTTAGTGTCATTTTGACTTGAACGAATTTATTGTTTATACAAATCCTTTGTGCAAAATGTATTCAAAATTCTTCATGTGATTGTAGCTTTTGAATTTACCAATTTCATTTCAGTAGTTTTACTTGATGATTAGGAATATGACATTTGATTATGAAGCAATGAATGAATAATGAAAAAATAATTAACACAAATTTAAATGTAAGATACCTTAATCATAAAGATGTAACAATTATAATGCTTTTTTCTTTTTCTTTTTCTTTTTCTTAAATTTCAATTGTGATTGACTCTCAAGTTCAATGATCAAATATATATAAGAATGTTAAAGGCATGAAATTCCAAGGGATTAGGCTGATGATTGAGAATGTTTGTTTATTGACTTTCGTGGTTTACCTTGGAACATTGTGTTTATAAGATATTCAATGAGCTTCAGAGATTAGTTAAAGTATACGTAAATTAGCTCGGACACCCCGATCATAAAAAAAGAAAATGTTAAAGGCACATAACAAAAAAAGGGTAAAGACGTGAAACAAAGAAGCGTGTGTAAATTAATGACCGAAATCATAAAATATATGCGAAAAAATATGTAAGAATAATAGCATTTTATACATAATAATTTAATTATTGAAGTTGGTAAGATGACACAAATGATACTTAGGTTCAGTTTTATCTCAAATTTATTATATTCTTAGTTGATAATTATTGTCATTATATTTGTGAAAATTTTAATAGTTCTTCCACATACAAAGCTATGCTAGTAACCATTCTATTCCTAAGGTTTGAGATAATACACATATATGATAACATGGTAATAAACAAATAACCTCTTAATTTACATCAAAGGGGATTTCGATTTGCCATTTTATTCATAACTAATAATCGAGTTAATGACTTTTTCCCACCCAAATAATAGCATAATGACACTTTCACACTCACAGATTTTTAAAATACCATTTTACTATCCAAATTTATGTTGTGAAAGTGAACAGAGAGCAAACTCGGTTTAGGTTGTTTGAGCTTTTGAAGAAGGGAGATCGATGAGTCTTTTAGTGGTGAAATATTAGATTTTGGTGGTTTGGATTGATCAGAATTTGACTTGGGATGGATGGCTGCGTAAACCCTAGTTGCTCAATTGTCGGCGATTGGTGGGGTCTACGGGAGTAGAGTTTTAGGGGTTTTGGTGAGTGATGAGCATGAAAGAAAATGGTGATGGTGTGGGGTCGCAACGATGCTAGAATAAAAAATGGAATATAAATTTAGATAGTAAAGTTGTATTTTAAAAGTATGCGGTGCTAAAGTGTCATTAAACCATTATTTGTGTGGGAAAAAAATCATTTACTCCTAATAATCTAATATTAAAGAATGTTGCTAAGTAATGAACATCTAACTCTTCAATTTAGATTTAAAATTATATAAAAATGAACAATAATTGTTGCCTTACAGCTATATTCTAATGTATGAGAATTGAGAATAATAAAACTGTCATAACCAATTGAAATATGAAAAGGTCATATACAAATGACCATGCATTAAATGATGACAACCAAAACAACTCATAAAATCAACAACTTCTCCTAAATATATCATGTAATTTGTACTATATTACTAATTCCCCTTAACCCCAATTATCCCCACAGCCTCAATCAATCATCAATCATTTGATTTCAAAGGAGATTAATCAATAATGGGAGCGTGTGCAAGCAAACCTAAGGAGATTGATAATGCTCCATGTGAGGCTCCTACCACTCCTAAGAGCAATCACAAGAATAACAATATTAATAGAGCCCCTTTGGTTGATCATTCTAAACCCAAAAACAAAACTGTTGGTGCTGAACCTGAACCAAAAACTGAAAAGAAGTTTAAAGTTGCGGTGGTTGATGATGCGGAACCTGCTTTTGCCGGGCCAGCAAAGGCGGAAACTGGGAATAAGTTTATTGAGGAAGCAAATGCTGATCAGAACGTTGAAGAAATTGGAAAGAAGGTTGAACTAACAAATTATGAGAAGGCTGCTATTGACGCCAAGCCAGCTTTTGCCAGACAAGCAGTGGAGAAAAAAGTTGAAACTACCGAACCCGGACCAAACACTGAAAAGACATTTGAGGTTACGGTGGTTGCTGATGCGGAACCTGCTTTTGCCAGGCCAGCGAAGGCGGAAACTGAGAATAAATTTATTGAGGAAGCAAATCCTGATCAAAACGTTAGAGAAATTGGAAAGAAGGTTGAAGGAAAAGTAGAGAATGTTAAAGAAAGTGATAAGAAGATTGAACTAACAAATGATCAGAAGGCTGCTATTGACGCTGATCCAGCTTTTGCCAGACAAGCAGTAGAGAAAAAAGTTGAAACTACTGAACCTGAACCAAAAACTGAAAAGAAGTTTGAGGTTGCAGTGGTCGATGATGCGAAGCCAGCTTTTGCCAGGCCAGCGAAAGCAGAAACTGAGAATAAGTTTATTAAGGAAGCAAATGCTGATCAAAACGTTAAAGGAATTGGAAAGAAGGTTGAAGGAAAATTAGAGAATTTTAAAGAAAGTGAGAAGAAGATTGAGCTAACAAATTATCAGAAGGCTTCTATTGATGCTAAGCCAGCTTTTGCCAGACAAGCAGTAGAGAAAAAAGTTGAAACTACTGAGAAAACTGAAAAGAAGTTTGAGGTTGCGGTGGTTGATGATGCGGAACCTGCTTTTGCCAAGCCATCGAAGGCGCAAACTGAAAATAAGTTTATTGAGGAAGCAAATGCTGATCAAAACGTAAAAAAAATTGGAAATAAGGTTAAAGGAAATGTAGATAATGTTAAAGAAAGTGAGAAGAAGATTAAGCTAATAACAAATTATCAGAAGGCTGCTATTGACGCTGAGCCAGCTTTTGCCGGACAAGAAGTAGGGGAAAAAGTTCAGAAAAAGGATAAGGGTGTTGGAGAAAAGGCTAAAGAAATTGAGAAGGTTGAGGGTTTAGCAGAGAAGGCTAAAGAGAGTGCAAAAACCGTTGACAAGAAGGTTGAGGCTAAAGCTACTGCAAAAGAAATTGAGAAGAAGGTTGAGGCCGCTTCAATACCATCAAAGGCTAAAGAAATTGAGAAGGTTGAGAGTTTAGCAGAGAAGGCTAAAGCGAGTGCAAAAACTGTTGAGAAAAAAGTTGAGGCTAAAGCTACTGCAAAAGAAATTGAGAACAAGGTTGAGGCTGCTGCAATACCATCAAAGGCTAAAGAAAGTGAGAAAAATATTGAGGAGAAGGTTGAGGCTAAAGCTATTGCAAAAGAAATGGAGAAGGTTGAGGCTAAAGCTATTGCAAAAGAAATGGAGAAGGTTGAGGCCCCGATTGTGGGTAAATTTGACAAAATAGATGAAGCCCCTCAAAAATCAGAGAAATTAGACCAAAAGTGATTTATCATTTGTGGCTGCATGAACTTTATTGGGTCTAAATTTTATGTGTTTTTTCTTTTTATATATTTATTGACGGGACTTGTATGTCATGATTTGTGACAACTGACTTCATTCGTTTTTATTTTATAAGGTGCTATATTTGACTTTTCTTATAGAACAAGCTTATTTCTTTATTTTCCTTATTTTTTATCATTTAAGCTAGAGTTAACAACTTTTTCCCACCCAAATAGTAGTTTAATGACACTTCCCCCCGCAAATACTTTTAAAATATTATTTTTTATCGAAATTTATATTTTATTTTCGATTATGATATCGTTATGACTCTACGCCATCATCATTTTCTTCCTCGATCATCACTCATAAAAACCTCTCAAACCATACTCTCATCGACCGTGCCAATCGTAAGCAATTGAACGATTAGGGTTTGCGTAGCTGTCCTTCTCAAGTCAAATTCTAATCAACCCAATCACCAAAATCCAACCTTCCACCCCAAAAGACTCATTTGTCTCCCCTCTTCAAAAGCTCCAACAGTCTAAACCGAGTTTACTCTCTGTTCACCGTCGAAATATAAATTTGAGTAATAAAATAACATTTTAAAAGTTTATGGATGAGAAAGTATCATTGAGTCATTATTTTGATGAGAAAAAGTTGTTTACTCTTTAAACTATTTCTTTTTTATTATTTTTTTCCAAAATGTAAACTGACAAATGCTAATCCTTTACATGGGATTAAATTATAATCCCACTTAAATTAGTAATCCTAATACAGTATTAATTAAATAAGTCTAAGATAAGGATTATTAAACTAAGAAATAGTCTATTTAAAATATAGTGCCCAAACTCTATATTCTATTTATACATTTACACTGAATTGACAATCGTTTTTATACGACTTCTTTTGATGCCTCCAATACTTAATTTCCTAAACGTAATTGCTTGAAAACTGTGTGTACACGCAGAGTGGATTATCAAAATGAAGAGAAAGACGTTGGGCATTTATAATTTACCAGAAAATATGATCATAATATAGTCAAGGATAACATATTGATAGTAATAACATCAACACGCACAGTTCCTTGTTGTTTGACTGTAGTGATTAATGGAGATTGAATGACGGGTTTTTTTTTATTGGATTGTTTGTTTGCTGTGTTCGTTAGGACTCTTTGCCTGCCGCCCACTGCCGCTGGCAACCCACAAGATCTCCCCCAACTACAATGCCCACAAGCTGTTCGATAAAATTCCCACAAACCAACCACCCACAACCTGTTCGAGCTACAGTCGCGATCGATCGTGCAAGGACTGCTGGAGTTGGCTTTTGCGGTGGCCGGGAGAGGTGTTTGCAGCTCAAGGGAGGCTGTCGCTTTTAGGCCGACTGGCCTGATTCCGGTGCCGTTGGACCCAGCCGCCACGACCATCAGCTACCTCGTAATTTATTTGGCGGTTGGTTATTTTTCTAATTCTACAAATTTGGGGGTTACAAAAAAATTTATTAATTTATTTGTCAAGGACAATTTGATAATAACACTTTTATACCTTTATCAGAATTCAAAATTCACTTAACGGTTTTGATTTAAGGTTAAGAATCTAAAATTTATGAAACCAGGGTGAGAACTTGTAATCTTAGGTGGGAATATGTCTTTACTCTTTTCTTTATTACGAAGGTCAACAATGAAGATCACATTTTGCTTTGTAATTAAATCTCCTCTTATCTCGCTCTCTTTTTTATTTGCTGTCCCCTAATTCATAATTTTACGTAAAAGTTTTTACATTAGTCTTATCATCTAATCAATTAATTATATTTAAAAGTTATCTTCTTTGCTTTCTACCGAAATTTAAGAGAAAATAGAAACTAATCATGTTTTATAATATCAAGAAATTAGCTCCTAACACTTTATATATGTCTTGATACCAGTGTTTTAAATCGTTTTCATTCAGCTTCACAAAAGTTCAAAAATACTTCAACAAAAGGTGTACCAAAAAAAAAAAAAAAATTCATCAAAAAAAAAAAAAAAAAATTCATCACAACTTACCAATTACTTGAATTAATGGCCAACTTGATGATCCAATTACTTAAATTTAGTTGTATCTAGAGTCGCATAATAAATGAATTTGGCTAAAGTTCATTGATGTTCAATAAATGTTACTTCCAAAATTCCATGAATCCGGAGACCTTCAACTTGAGTTTATCAGAGAAGATGACCGATGAGAAAGTGCAATTTAACTATTCTTGCCCACCAGGAGCAACATCCTTGGAAGGACCTTCCTCAGGCTTCGTGTCATCCTTTACGGCTAAAATGACAAGAAGTATAAGCAATGGATAACTAACCGTAGTCAGAGACCAATTAATAATCAATTGGGAAAGCAATGAAACTTTTTGTGTATCAATTTGCCAAGCCACTGCAGCCCCTGCACTTTGCACCCCCTTGTAGAATCCAGTATACCTGCAACAACACAGGAATACAATTTCAACAACACATGAAATCAATTTAATTGAAAGGGAAAAGTATCAAATACCATTTCCGCATATGCATTCATCCTATCGAACAAGTCATGTCAATGCACATAACCCATAATTGTAAGAGCATATACATCTGATCAATCATATCAGCACGCACAAAATGATGGCTATGCTTAAGCAACAATCAAGTTTTATAACATGGTTATTACCTGCTAAGAGTCTCAGAATCATTAGCCAAGGTTCCAATGACCCAGTAAACCGTACTTTGAAACATGGCATCCAGCAACCCATAGCTGAAATACAACACAAAGGGGCTAGCAAAATCACTACCAGATTCCTTGAAATCCAACTTCACTTGTTTAGCATGAGAATAAGTGAGTTGATTAGCAAGTCCACCTCCCCAAATTGCTGTACCAAACAAAGCCACAACACCAATCCCAACAAAACCCCTTCTCCTCCTACTTCGAAAACTAAAATCCAACACATAACCAATCCCAGCAGAACCCACCATTTGAGCAGACCAATAGAAAACACTGGTCAAACCCCTAGTCCTTAAATTAAATAGCGCTCCATTAACATTATTAAACTGGTAAGTAGCGAAAAAATTACTAGCCCAAGAAGCAGGCACAATCAAAAGCATCTTCCAATTCAAAAACAACTTAGCAATTTCAGTAGCCTCAATGGTGACACTAGAGTACTTAATGTTAGTACACCGGCTCCCATCATCACGCACTACTAACCTAGGTGGCAAAACGGCCAAGGAAAGAAGAGCACCAACAGACATGAAGCACATGAACCCAATATAAGTTCCATCATTAACAGAAGCAGCATCACTACCACGATTGTAATTTAGAAAAAAAGGAATAAGTCCACCAATAACACCACCGGTACTAAAAATAGCCCAAAAAATTGAAATATAAGTACCCTTCCATTTTGGTGGAGGGTACGAGGTCATAATGGCCCCTTCCGCAGCCCACAAAAAGCCAGCGCCAACGCCCAATAGAGCACCGGCAACTATAGGAAAAACTTGATGCGGGTAATGATTATAGTAAAGAAAAGCGCCGGCATAAAGCGTGTAAGTGGAGCAGGCGAAGAGGAGGGTCACTTGAGGGCCCAAAAGATTGTAAATGCCGCCACTCAGAATGCTAAAAATGGTGAAGGTGGTGTAAAGGGCTGTATTGGCATTATTAGCAGCGTCAGGGTTCACTTGGCCACCACCACCCATTCCTGACAAAGCACAGAACATTCCAGGACAGCAGAAACAGACAACACCAATTAGACACACCTGTGCCAAGGGTGAGTTGTACCTGAAACGTGAATTGGGTGGAATCGGTTGAGCAGATTCTTCATCAGAGTTGATTGTTTCCATGGTTGTACGGGTGTCGAGATGAGGAATTTAGATACTACGATGAAACAAATTCAGTGAGAGGTGAACTTAAAGACAATGTTTCGGGAGAAATGATGATGGTGACACAGTTGCACATTCCAACTCCATGTGAATTATATAATGTATATAATGTAGTTTAGTTACTTGTGAGATGATGATGCACTTCGATCCTGACATTTCAACTGCATCTTCCTCTATTATTTCTGTAGCTTTGATTAGAAACTCAGCAGTCACTGTAATGGAGTTACTATAATGGACTTGTGACAAAATTGTCTTTAGAGGTTGTTTGGCTTTGCCAATAAACAATAATTGATTTGATGCATTGTAAAGTTGTTCATTTCAATTGTCTAAAAGCCCTTTCCAAAAAACATAGTTTTCAATTTTAATGATTTAACAAAAGAGTGGTCCAAACAAAAGATTGTGTTCCCTGTGTTGTCTTTTTGTACTGCTTATTTTGACATTTCCTTCTCAATTTTTGCTCTTGGAAGCTTGTAGACGACTCTTGCTGTCTTACATCAAAACCACAACGCAAGCTTTACAAATTTCTTCATATTAGAATTGCAAGGCGAGCATAGTCCAAACTCCAATTAACTAATGGCATCATATTACTTGATACAAAAATTTGCATTAAAATTGGAAACCTTACTTCTGACCTTCTTCTCCCGTCCTGGCCTTGGTAGCTGCCTCTAGAATGTGAAAAAGGTCAATAAACTTTTTAACCATCATTGGGTGATTGAGTGGTCAACTAGGACTTTTAAATGTATTATTCAAGAGATCTTAAGTTTGATTAATCTTAACAGCTAATAGGGGTGGCCAGATGATCTCTTACCTGACCGGTAGTTCTAGGCTGCCAGAGGATTAATTGAGGTGTGCGTAAGTTGACTTAGACATCTTCGATCATTAAAAAAAAAAAAGGTCAATGAGAGCATATTCCTGCAAAACATAACCTCTACGTGAAGGCATTAAAAATTTGGATTTGAGGGCAATCAAAATCTCGATGGAATACTCAACTGTGAGTCTTTACCTAATTCAATAAAGATTGGCTCACAACTCAATCTTACAAACTTTCTCTTATAATCCAATCTTACAAACCCAACATGATAGCTTGCAATTGAATAGGCGGGACCTATTGTTGGGCAGGTGAGACCCATTACAAGCTGACCAGTTGCTAACTGCAACGTCGGAATTATAAGAAAAAGTTTGTAAGATTGGGTTATAAGTGTAGTATTACTCTTACCTGATCATAGTCCCCTTTTATATTGTCGTTGATATCCACTTTTATTAAGAAGGTCTAACAAGGCTCGAAGTGATTTGAAGACAATTTAACAAACCATATTGTGCTCCATTTAAAAGTCTGTTTCTCTCAACTTTTTCCAGAGGCTGGTGAAGCCGTTTCAATGGGGTATTTTGGGTGGAGTAATGCTACAGTTACTGGAAGGAGTGCATTGAATGACGTGACGTAATCCTGACTGACGATTAATATTAACTCATAATTAATCTACCATCAGAATTTTATTATGTCATTCGATACACGAATTTGGTATGCTTTCTTCGATAACTGTATTATTTTCCATTTTAGGTGAGTTGAGTTATAGTAGATTAAAGCGTTCAATAACGCTTTACTGAGACCAAAGTATTTCTTTGAATTCAACATATTTGAGGGACCCTAATTGGATAGGCAACGAAAGCCCGTTTTAAAAAAGCCCAAGTCAAAATTGTTCGAAATTATTTTTCTAAAAATCTCCCAAAATGGCATTGCATGTGAATGCGTATTCCTACATGCATTTGGGCATAAAATTGTAATATTTTTTAGGGTTTTAATTTATCAAAAATAGGATTTAAGGGAAAAAAAAAAAAAAATTGTTTCTACTGTTTAGTCAACTTTTTTATACAAAATGTTTTCCATTATTTTTTTTTCTAAAATCTTAGAATATTATTAATTGTTCCAGCTTTAAACTTCATAATTTTCTGATTTATTTTATTTTATATAAATATTTATTTACAAAAAAAATTCACTATTTAATTTAACGGGTTTTTCTTTGTCTTTATCTTTTTTAAAAGAACGTTTTCAAACCCTTTTTATGTTTTAAAACCCTCTTCGAAAAGTCCTTATTTTATTGTTTTTACTAATTCTTTTTATTTAAAATGTTTATAATAAAAATTCCAAAACAGTTTCCAAAATGGTATTTCAGTTTGTTGTAAAATTGCGCTTTATATTAAGTTTGGGTTTTGTAAAATTTCTCAAATTCGAAATTCATTCACAGGTGATCTAAGAGATTTAAGAATTTTAAATCTCTATTTATTTCTTTCAAAAAAATACTTTTTTTTTTATTAAACTCCGTCTCCTAGTCTCTGTAAACTGTACAATGTTGTTTTTTCCGCTAAATTCTTCTGTCAAACTATTTCTAAATATCTAATCATTTTATCAATTTCTTTAATATATTTTAATTTAGTTCCCTATATATATATATATATATATTATATATATATATATCTATATTTTAGTCTCATCAAAACCCCAATTTTTACACTCTAAGTATCTCTTATTTTATTTATTTTAATTAGCTTGTTTGTTGAAGAATATTTTTGTCAAGGAGGGACAATGTTACATCACACGGCTCAGACATACTCTGATGAAGACCTTAGAGAGACTCTTTTCAGTTTTCACATTCAAGGCTGGAATAGTCACTTTCTGAGTTATCGAAGCCAAACCTAGACAATTGATTCCTATGATATATTTTTTGCATTCAAAGACCGAACAATTGATTTTCGGGTTGTTTAATTATAAATCCAAGATAGTTAGTTCCTAGGGTTACGTCTCACAAAGGGCCAAATAGTTTATTCATGGGCAAAAACTAGATAATTGATTCTCGAGATTATTTCACAAAGGCCTAAATAGTTGATTCTTGGATTCTACAAATAAAAGTCCATCCTTGAGGCAAATATCATTCCATAAGTTCACCCTAACCAAAGGGTTTGACTACAAGTCCACCTTTGTTGAAGGCAAATGGTGTTATGCCTAAAAAATCAATGTTGATGTTAGCCTACATCAACAAGCACCAATCAGAGTTCATGAAAGCTTTGCGCCATCCAAGAGCTGCCACTTTGCTCTATGACAGAAAAAATATGGCTGTCACCAACTTAATAGATTTAAGTTTTGTCTATGAGTGACTGAGGACCGCACACTTGTCCAAGCCCTAGATAATTTGAGGATATTTTATAAGTTATTAGCCAATGGGAGACAAGGAAGGACTTGCACCACACTTACCCACTTGCAGATTTGTAATCATTATCTTGAATTCCTCTACTATAATAGAGGACTCCCTCTCTCATTTTCGGGATTCTGATCCTGAACCCTCATTCTGATTGTAATATTTATTTTTATAGCAAAGATAACCTATGAGAAAGAGACTGACTTGATATTTTTTCTGAATCATAAGCTATTATTCATCTGCTATTCGCTTTACACGACCTCTTGTAATCTCTCATATATAAAAGAAACAATGGATGTAGGATTCATTTTAAGCATCCAAACCACTTTAAAAATCATATCTCTCATTTATTATTTAGTCTTTGTATTTGATTATAATCATTCACTATAATTTCTAAGAACTGCTTAGCACTTTGCATGTGCGAGTCGTTTGTGTAAAAATCACGCATCAACAATTTGACACTAGAAAGAGGGCTTGATTTTATATCCACTCTTCATTTAGAATCTCTGATCAATCAGTTTCACTTGTGAACAAATGGCTTGTGATCTTGAAACTGAGCGAACTAGCACTAATAACGAGGAGATCCCTCGGATAGAGGATCTTACTTCTCCCGAAGTACCTCCAATTCCTCAAGGCACCGCGGCAAACATCCCCTTGACCTTTCAGCTCAATCCAGTTGTGATGAATTACCTAAAGAGGTTCAATAATACTCTCCGAACAGTTAACTAAAGGTTAGATCGTTTGAATCAGGTCGTATCGCCCAATTTTGACAAGACGGTACCATCTCCAAAAACACCTGTAGGTCTAACAATGGGCCAAAAGGCTCAAAGGGGCTAGTGAATACCGATCGTGAGGCAGGTAGAATACATATGGCTTTGTAACTTGGCGGTATGTCACATCATGAGCCGTCTCACGCCACTAAAGGTGGAAAAGTAACCCGCCCAGCCCGGCCCGCGGCGGGTTACATTCTTTGGCGGGTCGGGCCTAACCCGCCCGCCAACAAAGGAGGGCCGGGTTAGGCCCGGCAATTTGGGGGAGATGGCTGGCCCGGCCCAGCCCGGCCCGCCAACCCTAACCCGCCAGGTTAGGCGCGGTCCGGGCCGGGTTAGCTCGATTTTCTTTATTTTTTTTGTTTTTTTAATTTAACTTTTCAAATAAATAATTATAAATATAATTGTTTTTAGTTAACTTTTCAAATATCAATAATTCAATTCAATTCAATTTTTTTTTTTTGTTAACATTTCAAATATTAATTCAATCTTAATACAATAAAATTGTAATATAAGAAAAATTAGACTTATTCATTTATCAAAAAATAAAATAAGAAATTACAACAATTATTGCCTCATTAAAAACCTCACCAAGAAAAACCCAATGGGAGAAAAACTTGGTAAAGAAAAAAGAGTGCAATAATTGACAATTAATTTACAAATTACATTTTACAAAACAACTAAATTGGGGGTGGTTCACTAGGACCTCCCTCATCTGTATCATCTATATTACAAAATTGAAATGATTCTACTAAAGCATTGTCGATAACCTCGTATTGATCTTGATGGCGCGATCGTTCCCAATCTCGAAGACATGTGAGGACTTCAATCATTTTTGGAGCAAGTTTAGTCCTCCTTTCATTTAAAATCCTTCCACTTGCACTAAATGTTTGTTCGGATGAGACGGTTGAGACAGGAACAGCGAAAACATCCAAGGCAAGTCTTGATAATACCGGAAAAATACATTTTCTGGCTCTCCAATACTCTAAGAGATCAAAGT